AAACTGTGCAAATGTATTTATATGGCACAAGGATGTTGACATTTTAAGAACAAAAGATAAAATGCAGCCAAAATGTCTACTAACCCGGGGTTGGCTACAAAATTAATTGCTCCACAGAATTCGTCTGGATTACTGTGTCCTAATTTTGTAACCACTGCCATTACTCAATATGAATAAATGTATTCAAATTCAATACAACAAAATAACCACCAAAATCTAACATCATGTGGAGAGAAATTACAAAACATTTTACTCTCCCTTCAGTGTATGTACACACAGGACACACCCAGAAGGTGCCACACAGATCCTGTGAGGATCTTCAATGTATTGTTTGCAAAGAGATCTTCTTCTAAGTAACACTATTTTCTAACAAATGAAAACATCCCCCAAATATAGGTATTTTAGCAATTAAAGATTCAGGTCTAAGTCAACATCACATTCGTGATGTCAATAATATAGATTATCCTGGGGCGCCTGGGTGGCTCAGTGGGCTAAGCCTCTGCCTTTGGCTCAGGTCATGATCTCAGGGTCCTGGGATCCAGCCCCGCATCGGGCTCTCTGCTCAGCAGGGAGCCTGCTTCCCCCCTCCCCCGCCCCGCCTGCCTCTCTGCCTGCTTGTGATCTCTGTCTGTCAAATACATAAACAAAATCTTTTAAAAATAAAAAAAATAATAATAATACAGATTACCCTAAACTTACCTTCGTTTGGAGTCTCTTTTTGAAGCAAATCTGAAACACAGTAAAATGGGTACAAGCACACCCAAGAATTTGACTTGGCGATTACTGGAGGGTTCTTCTGCACCCCCATTTCCACAGGAGACCCACTGCTGTGCCGGCTACCACCACTCTGAACTGGTTTCATGACAAAACTGCTACAGGTAGTTTAAAAAGAAAAAAAAAAACCATTTCCCTTTTGTAGAGTTCACCTGAAATGTGTTACGCAGACACTAAGAGCTTACACTAAAGACCGCCAGCCAGAATCAGCAGAGCGAGGCGGTCTCCAGATCCCCTCTTCTGACTGAGGACATTAAATTTCATTTTCCTTGCGTAACTTTCCAGGAGTGTTAACCTTACGTTCTTTTCCTTAAATTTACTGAACTTTAAATACCTGTAAACTTCATACCAGCACTTTCTAGTTTTAAAACAAGTTTGCAATTGTAAAGGTTTCTGTTTAAAAACCACCTTCACAATGAATTGTTAGGTTCAAAACATCCCATTCTGACGAAAAACGACAGTGAATACAGTGGGCAGTGTGGGACAGGTTAGGAAAGATGACACTCCTAATTAGCAGACCTGAACTCTGACACGGCATAAAAAAACAAAACAAAACAAAAACAGACAGAAAGACAGACAAAGGAGAGAAAGTGCAGAAAATTCTAAGTTCTCCAGGTTACTGAGGAAGGTGGTCACGGAGAGGCGGCGGCGCTGCTGTCCTCTGAGCCGGGGACACTCCGGGAAGAGGCTTTCCGCACACCAGACTCCACCCGCAAGTGGTCACTGTCACGGCCCGCGGGGCCTCGTGACGGACACACGCTTTATTACACACACGACGCCAGCATCGCGGACACGCACCCCAGAAACGCAAAGCCGAACCCCCGTGTGGCCCGGAAACGCGCGGCTGGAGGCTTTGGGCGCGGAGGGCATGTTTTGCCCCAGACTCAAACGCAGACACAACTCCATGGCGTTAACAAAGCGGGCCGTGCCCGTGTTCGGGGTTTCGGTTTTTGTGGGCTATGCCGAGTCGTGCAGGCTTTCCGGCGGGCCCGTGAACTGCCAGGCGGCCCGCACCCCGTCGCGGGACGCGACCACCCCGCAGACGCGAACCCGGGGCCGGCACTCACGGGCGGACACCCCACAGAAGGGCCGCCACCTCCAAAGGCACAGACGCGCGAGCACAGCGGATGCCAACGCACCGGCCCCTAGGCTTCACCGGGAGCCGGGAGCTTGGAGCGCCCGGGACCCTCCGGGCTCAGAACCCGAAACCTCGCGCGGACGACCGAACCTTAGGGGCTCCTCGCTGCGCTCGGTCCCGGGGCCGACGAGCCCGGCGCGGCCGACCCGGCGTCCGGCCTAAGGGAGCGGGGAGCCGCCCAGCACGGGCCGGGCAGGACGCGGGGCCGCAGGGACGGCCGGCGGGTCGGCGTCCGACGGGGCGCGCTAGGCCAGGGCGGAGGCCCCAACTACCTGAGGATGTTGTGCGCCTCCATGCTCCGGTTCTGGTTGCTCGAGCACACCACCGCCACCCGCAGCGGCGACGACGGCATAGCGGCGGCCGCAACGACCGCGACGCAACCTCTCCGGGACGCCCACCCAGCCGCGCCGCTTCCGCGCGAGCAATATGGCGGCCGCGGCGCCCGGAAGTCATGACGCCAAGGCGGCGGCGCCGGCGCCGGCGACGTAGCGCGTCAGGACGCGGGCGTGGGCGTGGGCGTGTGCGCGGCGTCCCGGCGGCCCACACGCGCAGGCCCACAGCGCCCTGTCGCGAAGGCAGGGAGGTTCCGCCGGCGGGCGCCGAGCCCGCAGCGAGCGCGCCGCTGTTCCCGGAGTGCCCGGCAGAAGCCCGAGCTCCTCACAGGGGCCGCCCTCGGCCCGGAGCCCGGCGCTGGCGTGCTACGTCACAAAACCCGGCCGCCGTCGCCAGGAATGACGTGACGCCGCGCCGTCGCCCAGGACGCGTCCGACGTGTGGCCGTCGTCGACAGGAGTGACGCGCGCGCGGCGCCAGCCGGTCGGCATCCAGAGTCGCTGGAGCGCCGCTTCTGCGCGGCGCCTGGCGGCGGGGTCCCGCTCCCGCGGCCTGGGCCCCCACTCCGCCCTCGGCGTACAATGGGCTCACTCTCAGCGGGTCCCCGCGAGGCACCTCTTCTCTGCCCCGGCCGCTTAGCGGCCTTGCGTGCCCGGGCTCGCGCAAGCGTCCCCACGTCGCTCTCGGAGCCCCACCGGGTGGTGTTCAGGCCGAGTTTGGAACCCTTCGGGGAGGGGAGTCGTGCAGGGCCTCCCGGCTGGGAGCGCAACTTGACCGGGGCCTCGCGCTGTCCTGGAGGCACTGGGGGCCGGAGTCGCAGGGTCGGGGTAGGACCGGCTTCGGTGCCCCGCCGCGCTCCACCGCGTGGATCCGGCCAGAGGGCGGGCCGTGCTGGCTTCCAGGGGCGCGCGGCCGGGGGCCGGGAGAGGACGGCGCGGTGGAAAGGCGCGCTGCGCGTTGGCTTGCAGACCCCACTGGAGGGGAAGAAGGCTGGGGGGGGGGGGGGTTGCTCCGCGCTGCGGACGCGCGGGCGGCCGCCCTGTGGACGCCGACCTGCGGGCTGGGCGTGACGGCGGGCAGGGCGGAGGAGAAGCTCCGTCGCCGAGGCTGACGTTTCCCGGCATTGCCATTGTCTTCGGGGAGGAAAACGCGGAGAAGGCCCTCCATTTTTCTATTTTTTATTTTTTTAGATTTGAGTAATCTCTACACTCACCGTGGGGCTGGCACTCACGACCCCCGGGAACCGGCGTCCCATGCTCCTCTGACTGAGCCAGCCGGGCGCCCCTAGGCTGTCAGGGTCCTGCAGAACTGCTGGACGTAGTTGCTGCGGGGCGGGGGGAGGACAGTGCAGGACTGCAACGAGCGTTTACTGGGACGGCTCTGGGGGTTCGAGGGTGAATGAGGACACTCTCCCTGCCTGCTCTCTGTTTGAGGATATGCAGAGCATAAGAAGAAAAAAGACCCCCCCAAAATGTTACCGTGGGGTGGCAGGTATTTTGGGCTGGTGGGATTAAGGGTGCTTTGAATGTTTCTAAAAGTTTTTTTTAATTCCTTCACTTAGTATTTTATGAGGAACATGTATTTTTTTTAAGATTTATTTATTTAACAGAGAGATCACAAGTAGGCAGAGAGGCAGGCAGAGAGAGAGGGAAGCAGGCTCCCCGCTGAGCAGAGAGCCGGATGCGGGGCTCAATCCCAGGACCCTGAGACCATGACCTGAGCCAAGGCAGAGGCTTCACCCACTGAGCCACCCAGATGCCCCAAGGAACATGAATTTTTTTTTTAAGATTTTTATTTTATTGGGCGCCTGGGTGGCTCAGTTGATTGGGCGACTACCTTCGGCTCGGGTCATGGTCCTGGAGTCCCGGGGTCGAGTCCCGCATCGGGCTCCTGGCTCCGCGGGGAGTCTGCTTCTCCCTCTGACCTTCTCCTCGCTCATGCTTTCTCTCACTGTCTCTCTCTCTCTCTCAAATAAATAAATAAAGTGTTTTTTTAAAAAAAAGATTTTTATTTTATTTATTTGAGACAGAAGGAGCCTGAGCAGGTGGAGAGGCAGGAGAGGGAGAAGCAGGCTCTCTGCTGAGCAGGGAGACGGATGCAGGGCCCAATCCTAGGACCCTGAGAAGATGACCTGAGCCAAAGGCCAACACTTAGCTGACTGAGCCCCCCAGGCGCCCTCAAACATATATTTTCTTTTACATCCACAGCAAATACTAGAACTGTTCATATTTTAGAAACAAAACGCCTCCATGGCTTCCCCAGTGTGCTGAGAACATACTAATCTGAACTCAGAGGCCTTGTGGTCTGAAGTACCAAGCTCTCGGGGTGCCTGGGTGGCTCAGTGGGTTAAGTGTCTGCCTTCGTTTCAGGTCATGAGCTCAGGGTCCTGGGATGGAGACCCGAGTCCCATTCTCTGCTCAGTGGGGAGCCTGCATCCGCCACCTCTCTGCCTACTTGTGATCTCTCAGTCAAATAAATAAATAAATTCTTAAAAAATAAAACAAATATTGAAGTACCAAGCTCTCTCTTTTTTATTTTATTTATTTATTTGACAGGGAGACAGATCACAAGTAGGCAGAGAGACAAGGAGAGAGGGAGAAGCAGGCTACCCCCTGAGCAGAGAGCCTGATGTGGGGACTCGATCCCAGGACCCCGAGATCGTGACATGAGCTGAAGGCAGAGCCTTAACCCACTGAGCCACCCAGGTGCCCCAATGTCGTCTTCTTTTTTTTTTTTTTTTTTAAGATTTTATTTATTTGAGAGAGAGCAAGGGAGAGAGGGAGAACCAGGCTCCCTGCTTGAATAAAGGCCCACACATCACAGTGTTCTGGCTGAGGAGAAAGCCGGACGCAGGGCTCAATCCCAGGATCCTGGGGTCATGACCTGAGTCAAAGGCAGACATTTAACTAACTGGGCCACCCAGGTGCCCCTCATCAATGTCTTTTGAAGGACAAAAGTTCTTAGGCTTGATAAACTAATTTGTTTTTTTTGTTTTTTGTTTTATTTGTTTAATTTGTTCTTTTATAATTTGTGCCGGAATAGCTGAGTGAAGAATCCGCCGGGTGGAAATGGCGGTAGATTAGACGTTACGGAAGAGGAAGTTAGCGAGATTGAAGGTGTATGAAGACAAACTGCAAATGGAACAGAAGGGATGAAAACAGGCAGCATCAGTGAGCGGTGCGGCGGTGCCAAGCAGCTGGTGCATGTGCTGTTAGGCCCAAAGAGCAGGTGGGCAGCCTGGCTGGTTGCTAGAGGCCCTGCTTAAACTCTAGGAGTTTTCCCTCTAAGCCTTTTTGCTGGTTCTTTTCTTGGCCTCATGATTCACACACATGCTAGTCAGTGCTGAGCTATATACATCCACGTGTCCTTGTTCTTCAGCATTTTGCCTCGTGAACGCGACACCTTGGCCTCCTGGCTTCTCAGACCCATGCACTCAATGCATGGAGACCACGGGGCTCTGCCTGAGTTCTCCCTCGTTGCTGCACATCCTGAGAACCAGATGGAGAGCTGGAGGAGTCCTAGAATTCAACGTGTTGTTCCTTTCAGGGTCTCAGGACTTCAGTGTTTAGGACTGTTTTACATATTTTGTGTTTTTAGTTTTCAGGTGGAAAATAATTCTGGTTCCTGTTACTTCATCTTCACTGGAACCAGAAGTCTCATCATGTCCCCCCCTTTCTAAATTTTATTTGAGCGAGCGAGAGAGAAGGGGCAGAGGCAGAGTGAGAATCCCAAGCCAGCCCTACGCTGAGTGCAGAACCCGCCACAGGGCTCAACCCCATGATCCCAAGTTCACAACCTGAGCTGAAACCAAGCCGGCCACTCAACTGACCAACCACCTAGGCTCCTGTCTTTAATCCATTTTTAAAAGCATAAAATGGGGCGCCTGGGTGGCTCATTTGTTGAGCGCCTGCCTTCGGCTCAGGTCATGATCCCAGGGTCCTGGGATCGAGTCCCACATCAGCTCCCTGCTCCACGGGAGGCCTGCTTTTCCCTCTGCCTGCTCCCCTGCTTAAGTTCCCTTTCTCACTGACTCTGTGTCAAAAAAAAAAGTGTAAAATGTGGAAACTCACCCTACAGATACTAAGATACTAAAGTTATAATAATAAAGATAATATAGTGCAATTGTAGGAAAAAACAGACCTAAACAGACCCATGTAAATGTGGGAACGCAGTAAATACGGGGGCGCCATATACTGGAAAAGAGTGGATTGTTTCCACACACTGGATTGGGGAAATAGGCACAGTGTATGGCTACAAAACACTGTATCTCGACTTCACGCCATATACAACGTGATCTCTAGATAGATTAAACACAATATAAAAGGTAAAATCGTAGATCCAATTAAAAGTAGGAAAATATATTTTTCTAATTCGCTAAATAATTTACTAAAAGTAAGCTCTATACCCAACACGGGGCTTGAAGTCATTACCCTGAGGTCAAGGGTTGCACACTCTACCCACTGAGCCAGCCAGGCGCCCCAGGAAAATATTTTTCTGTTCTTTGTGTGCAGGGATTGCTGAAGACCGAGAAGACGCCTACAGCGTGGGAGAAAACGACATCTCATGTCACCAAAATTAAGGATTTCTTTTCAACAGAAGCTGGAGAGCAGCATGAAACAGATTTTCCCTAAGAGCCCTCAGAAGGAGCCAACCCTGCTGACTTCCGGATTTCAGACTTCTGGCCTCCGGCAGACTGTGCAAATGTCCTGCTGTTTTAGGTCTCCCGGTCTATGGTGACTTGTAGCCTGTAGTCAGCACAGAAAAAGAAGAGTTCGGAGTCTCAGAAAGTCCTATCAGATAGGATTGGTTTAGAATATTTGTGGAACTCTTGAAAATCCAAAGGAAAAATTCAGAGTGATAGAAAAATGTACCAAGAATAGGAATAAGCTGTTCCTTCAGGGGAAGTCCTACGTGATGGAGAGAAGTGACGAAATGTTAGTGCATTCTGCAGCATGGGTTAATCTCAGATGGGGTGTTAAGTAAAGACAATAAAAATCTGCAGCCCAACTTTGGGGTATATTTTTTTAAAAAGGCACACACATATCTGAGGGCACATCTGAGTGGTTGCTAATGAGGGAAGAAAGGAATGGGCATGAATGAATCTGTGGGGCTAGAATCCAAACAGCAGGATGGAGACCCCAGGGGCCAAGGACAAGGAAGTCCAGATAGAAGTGGATGAGGAGAGAGGCAGATCCCAGATACTGTGAGGCCACGTGTTTAATGATGTAGGAAAAGGGATGTCTGGGTGGCTCAGTTAAGCATCTGCCTTCAGCTCAGGTCATGATCTCAGGATCCTAGCTAAGATCAAGTCCTGCACTGGGCTCCCTGCTCAGTAGGGAGTTTGCTTCTCCCTCTCTCTCTGCCCCTTCCCACAGCTCATGCTCTCTCTCCTCTCTCTCTCTCTCTCTCTCTCAAATAAAATCTTTTTGTATTTCTTTAAAGATTTTATTTATTTGACACAGAGAGAGAGATCACAAGTAGGCAGAGAGGCAGGCAGAGAGAGAGGGAGAAGGCTGAGCAGAGGGCCCAATGTGGGGCTACATCCCAGGACCCCGGGATCTTGACCTGAACCAAAAGCAGAGGCTTAACCCACTGAGCCACCCAGGCATCCTCAAATAAATAAACTATTTTTAAGAAATGTAGGAAAGACATTACAGTTTGAAGCCAATGGCCAATAAGGAATTCTTGAGACGTCTTTGGTGCAAAAAGATGGTTTTATTAAAACACAGGGGGACACCTGGGTGGCTCAGTGGGTTAAGCCTCTGCCTTCAGCTCAGGTCATGATCTCAGGGTCTTGGGATTGAGCCCCACATCGGGCTCTCTGCTCAGCAGTGAGCCTGCTTCCTCCTCTCTCTGCCTGCCTCTCTGCCTACTTGTGATCTCTCTCTCTGTGTGTCAAATGAATAAATACAGTCTTAAAAACAAACAAACAAAACACAGGGACAGGACCTGTGGGCAGAAAGAGCTGCACTGGGGTCTTGAGGAGTGGCCCATTGTATACTTTCAAGTTGGGAGGGGGTTAGGATAGCCTAAGTCTCTAAAGAATTAGGAAGCAAGGTTTCCAGGACCTTGAGGAGCTAGCTGTAGTTGGGAAAGGTCATTTATTACCGCCTAATAAAACCTGAGTCCTGGGGCACCTGAGTGGCTCTGGGTTAAGCCTCTGCCTTAGGTTCAGGTCATGATCCCAGGGTCCTGGGATCGAGTCCTGCATCAGGCTCTCTGCTCAGCAAGGAGCCTGCTTCCCCTGCCCCCCGCCTGCCTCTCTGCCTACTTGTGATCTATGCCTGTCAAATAAATAAACAAAATCTTTAAAAATAAATAAATAAAACCTGAGTCCTGACACCTTTCAGATGTCTGTCAGGGGGTCACATGTTTGGGAGATGATTGCCAACATGTATCGGGAGGGGGGTGGGCGGTGGTTAGAGATGAAGTTTCCAAAGGAATTTCTGTATGTTAAAGTAGACTTACAGGATCCTGGGGGCCGGACTAGGATTGTCTTTTGCCCTTAGCAAAGGGCCAACATCGAGGCAGCTGAGTCCCTAGAGGAGGTCACTGCCTGTTTCAAGGACTTGTCAATGGGCTGGAGGTAGTAGGAAATTCAATAATTTTTCTTCTGCCTTTTTTCCCCACATCATTTAACAGTGCTAACAGAGTCGGGAGGTCAGGGAAGCTATCTTGGCTCACCCACTCCTCACCTAAGAGCCTGGGGAAATCCATCTCTTTTATACGTGACCAAAAGAACAGAGTAGCAGTTGAACCCCTCGCAGACATACGGTGAGAAAAGCATAGTAACATCCCGACAGATAAGATTCCTGGCAGAAAGCCATGCCCAGAAGCAGAGAAAAATTATAACCACCCATGTCATCAAAGCCAAACAGGAAACAGCAGCAGTTAGGAAAGACATGGATGCAGCTCGGGTGTGGCCCAGGTGGGAGGCTCAGAGCGTCAGGGGCCAAACACCTGTCCCCGAGGCCGGAGGCCATCCAAAGCTCCTGGCTGTCCCTGAACACAGATCCAACAGCTCCGACCTCCAGTCCTGAGCTGAGCTGGGAAACGCCGGCTCCACAACGTGCTCCTCAGCCTGCTGCCTGCTCTCCCCCCCAGCCCACTCGAGCTGAGCAGCCTCTGAGTGCGGGGGGCTTCCCAAGGGGCCGCGCTAGGGGCTCCTAGGATGCAGCAGGAGGCCTAAGTGGCCTTCGAGCACGGGAGGACCTGTGCCCACCCTCAGGGACCAGGGGAACAGGCCGTCGCCGCAGGCCGTGGGGAGGAATCTGGGGGGCCAGTCAGCACCCTCCTGTCACTGCTGGGGCCCCAGGAGCTGGTCACATGGGGCCTGCAGCACGAGCTCATAGAAGGGCGGATCCTTCCTGTGGGCAGGGCGAGGAGTACTGGCTGTGGGGGAGCTTTGGGGCGTGAGCTGGGAATCTGCTCTGTGTTGTACACAGAAGCCATCACAATGGGAATCCCACAGATGGGCCACGGCGTGTCTAGATTCTGCATGGGGTTAGGCTGGGGATGTAGCTTGGGCAGGGGGGCGGGTCTCAGCCCAGAGGAGGCATGGACAGTAGTAACGAGGGCCATGACGTTTTCGTCTCTACCTGCCTCATCGCCGGTAAGCTTCGCCACAAGCCTGTGAATCCGGCTCCATTACTGATACCATTTTACAGATGAGGAAACAGAGGTTTTCAAAGGCCGCATGGCTCTTCGAAGGCTGAGCCGGGCCAACAGCCCCGGAAACCCCTCAGCGTTTCGGATCAGAGCAGTGGCTTCTGTTCCACATCAGAAAATCCTAAGTTGAAGTATCTTCGGGCACCAATGAGAAAGGCAAAGTCTCAACCAACAGATGAGGCATCTGGGCCCAGCTGCCCGGCCCAAGGAAGGCATGAAGACGCTCCCGGAGAGAGGCATGTCTGCCCCTAGCCACAGAGTCAGAGCCGAGACCATGGTGAGAACAGAAAGAGGGAGAGAAGGGGGCGGGAGAGGGAGGCTCCTCCAGAAGGCGGTATAGATGGAGAAGGTCCACTGGACAGGTGCGCAGCCCACTGGGTGGGCTCGGTGGGCTAAGCGCCGGGGCGTCCCCCGTACCCGAGAGGACGGTGGGCCCCCGGGAGAAGGAGCAGCTCCGGAGGATGAGTGTGAGCTCGAAAGCAGAAGTGCTCAGCCTGGACATCAGCCCCAGGGCATCTCCCAAGCCCAGCAACCCCCACCCCCTGACTGAACCATGCTGGGGCAGGACTCCTCAGCTCCCCCTCTGCAAACCCAAAGCTGGACTCGAGTCCTTCGAGAAGCCCCTGAATGGAGCAGAAGGCTGCAAGTCCGTGCGGACCAGCCTTGCAGAGCAGCTGACTGGACAGGCGCTGGGATGAGCCCCAGCCCACAAAGGGGCCCCAGACCCAGTGGAGAGCCAGGGGGAGGGGAAGAGACGAGAGTAGGCAGGCCTCACAGAACCCCACAGGGGCTCCAGTCCTGGAACCCAGCTGCAGCCAGGAGCTGAGGACGGACACCCCGGCTCCCACTGCTACCCCGGGGAAGACACCCAAGCGCACAACGGGCCGGGAGGGGCCGCAGCAGACAGAGGGCCCCTAGGAAGCCGGAGAGGAGGCTGCTAGAAGCTGAACTCCTCCCACTTCTGCCCAGCGGTCTAGACCCGTTGCTGCACCGCCCCCTCCAGAGGGATGAGTCACTTCTCAGAGCCTGGCCCGCCCCCAGCTGTTCCTGATTCTCAGGGTCACAGCCAGTTCCAGGATCTCAAGGACAGCCAAGGAGGGGGAGAGTTTTGGGGGGAGTGGGTGATGGTCTAGTGCACGCCTCACACAGGGACTCAGGGTCCCCCTTCTCCGCAGCCCTAGCACTACATGGGGAAGCCCGTGCTGGGGAGGGGACCCTCCCGCAGCTGCCTAATTATTGCATGTCACAGCTCAACTGGGCCGCCCGTGAGACTGGGCTATTTCTAACTGCAGCGAACGCCATCCCCACACCCCCACCCAACCCAGGAGGCCCAGAAACGATGCTTCCTCAAGGTCTGAGGATGGACAGAACTGCCTGTTCCTCTGCTTGTAACAAGGTGCCTTGGAACTGGGGAAGAGGGGCCCTCCTCTTCCCCCGCCCCGCACTCTTCCTTCCCCTCCCCCAGTAAGCACACAAGACAGCATTTTTGGTCTAAAATGATGGACATTTAGACATTGACGATAGGCTCACACCTGACCAGCGCCATGCCAGGAGCAGGCCGAGCAAAGACAGAGAGGTAGGGAGTGGGCACTGTGGGGGCGCCAGCCAGGACCCAGGGTCGCCACTGGCCGCCGGGGTGGGGGTGGGCGTGGGCGGGGGTTAGCCACAGTGACTCCAGAAGTGCCAGGTCTAGGATGGTCATAGTCGGGGACTCGCAGAGAGCCGAGTGCGCCTGACCCCTCCTGGTGAGGCCAGGTGCCCGGCTCAGGAAGCAACCTTGGCTCGGGTCTTCCCAGGAAGGGACGAGGCCGGCCTTCAGTGCGGTGGGTACCAGCGTCACCAGCCAGATCCTGGGCTCTTGGCCGCCAGCGTGAGCAAGCGGGGGGTGGTGCCGTCCGTCACGCCGTGGTGGAGGCTTGGGATCCAGACCGCAGTGACAAGCTGTGCCAGGCCAGGCTGGCCTCAATTCTTCTGCTCTCCGGACACACGCTGTCATCTGAGAGGAGCCCTCTCCTCCCAGCCACTTGCCCCCACTCGCCACGGAAAGCCCTCATCAGAAGCAGCACCCACAAAAGAAAGAGAGGCAGCCCTGGAGAACTGCCAGCCTCCCCCAAGGTCAGAGGGCACTGCCCCTGGACACGCCCACCAGAGGCCCGGCCCATCTTGGTTCACAGCATGTCAGACGCCCAAGGAGGGAAACAGCCCGAGATGCTGCTTACCCACAATTGAGGCTCCTGCAAAGCTTGCAGGGGGGTTTCCCAGGGGGCTCTGGCTGGATAGAACACAAGCCAGCCAGTGCCAGGGCCACAGGCCCCCTCGACAGCACAGGACCAGTGGTTGGCTCCCGCGGGGGCCCCAAGACACTAAGGCACGACGCTAATCTAAGCCCACTGGGGTGAGGTGGGGAGAGGACAGGCTCCAAGGGGCCTCCTCCAGTCGGCAAAGCACACAGTGACCAAGCAATGACGACAGCCTGTTTTTTCCAACCTGGCACAGGCTACAGGTACAGCGTGATGACCCGGGGATGCCAATGGCTCTTGCTAGAAGGGGCAGTAAGTCCCGGCGGCCCCAGTAAAGGCCTCTGGAAAGCAGGGAGAGCCCTGGTCGAGGCTGGCACCCCCTCGCGGGCCCAAGGGTCAGTCCCGACCTGGAGTGTGGGAGGCGGATGCCGGGCTAGGAAGGTCGTGCAATGACTCCAAGGCCCTGGCGGGCTGGGGCCCTACCGGTCTCCAGCAGGCCCTGCGTGGACATCCTAAGGAGGGAGCAGGAGCGACGAGTGGGGAGCGGGCGCCAATCTCGGGCAGGCGGAGCGCCGGTGGGCCGCTCGCCTGGTGCTTCAGGGCTGCCTGCGCAGGCCAGGGCGCCCGAAAGCCGGGTGCATGAGGTTCTCGGTGATGTAGGCCACGAGCAGGCAGATGACCACCAGCATGACGCAGATGGAGCCGCCCACCGCCGTCATGGCCACCACGATCTCCCGCATGCCGGCCGGCTCGGCAGCGAACTCCACGCACTCGGCGGGCCCGGCGGGCTCCGGGGCGGCGGCGGCGGGCTCGGCGCGCAGCGGCAGCGGCTGCAGGCACAGGCGGTAGCGCACGCCGTCGTGCACGTCGGGCAGCAGGTAGTCGCGGCAGGACGCGCCCAGGAGCACGCGCTCGCACGGGAAGCGCGTGTAGGCGCCGCGCCACGAGCAGTTGAGCGCGAAGGCGCGCACGCGGCGCGCCTCGGCTGGCGCCAGGCGCCACTGCAGCAGCACCGTGCGGTTGCGCAGGACGCTGGCGCGCAGCGAGCGGCCGGCCGAGGCGTGCGCCGCGCAGCCGGGCGCCTGGCAGCGGAAGCCGCGCGCGGGGCTGCGGAAGCACAGGCGCCCGCCGCCCGCCTCGGGGCCCTCGGGCAGCACCTTGTAGGGGCACCAGGGCGCGTCGGCCGCCGGCTCCCAGCCCGGCGGCGTCGGGACGGCGGCGGCGGAGGGCGGAGGCGCGCAGGCGGCCAGCAGCAGCAGCAGCGGCGGGGCGCGCATCCTGCGGCTGGGCGGCGCGGCGGGGCGCGGGCTCACGGGCGCGGCGGTTTTTTTTTTTTTTTTTTTTAGCGCAGCCGGGCGCTCGCTGCGCGCCAGCGTCTTGCGCAACCGCACGGTGCTGCTGCAGTGGCGCCTGGCGCCAGCCGAG